TCTCTCTCTCTCTCTCTCTCTCTCTCTCTCTCTCTCTCTCTCTCTCTCTCTCTCTCTCTCTCTCTCTCTCTCTCTCTCTCTCTCTCTCCCCAACCAGTCAACTCTCGGCACAGGTATGATCCTCCTTCAATCTTCACTCTGTCTACTACTAAGCTATGGTGCAGTGTACCTTCTCCTAGCTGTGGGCACTTGAGAGTTCACTCTTGCTCGTGCTCTCTGTCTGCCTGTGTCCAGCACTAGCACTCTGAAAGCAGCGCTCCAGGCTCAAGGCAGAGCAAGGCAGAATGAATGAGCCAACTGGGGCAGGCCGCTCTTTTGTACTGTTGACTCGGGCTGATCTGCCTGCCTTTAGGCCTCCTTGACTGTCTGAGATTTTTCTTGATCTGTGTGGCCCTGATTTGTTGCCGGCCAGTGTGGTCCTTGACCTGGTGGGCCTCTGAAACTTCTGCGAACTGCACTGAGCCTTTGGATGAGTGTGAGATCTGTGGCTGTCATTGACTACTGAGAAATCTTGCACTCTTTCACTTCTGTGCCGAAGTTGGGCCTGGCTGTCGACGTTGATAGGGCCTACCATCTTCACCCGAATAGAACGCCGGGTCATTATCGCCGTATCTGGGATGGAAGTTGTGCCAAATACAGTTATAATAACTGGGCGTTCTATTTGGGTGAAGACGGTAGTTTCAACTCTCTGGAAATCCAGTGGTGCCTCATTTTTCCCCTTGACAGACTTTCAAGTGCCTCTTCAGAAGCTGGGGAGCGAGTCTTGCTTGACCCTAGAACTTTGACGCAATCCGGAGTTACGACCCTTAGACTTGAACCAGGTTCAAATTCTGGTGAGAGGATTTGAACCTGGTTCTTTGGATGTTGATTACGGTTTTCCCATAGTGTGTTCACAACATTTGGGGTTAAGGTTTTGTAAGTTTGCCCAATTCTGGTGCGGTTGCTCCTGAATTCAGTTTGCGACTCTGGGTGCAGCTCAGTTGTTGGAGGACTGTTTTTCCCAGGAAGATATGAAAGTTTTAAAAGCTGGAATGGTATAGAGAAAGATCAGATAAGGTTCTTGTGCAAGGATGACATGTGCACACACACACACACACACACACACACACACACACACACACACACACACACACACACACACACACACACACT